GAGAGAGAGAGAGAGAGAGGAAGATGGAGAGGGAGGGAGAGACAGAGGGACAGAGCTCAAGAGAAAATGCACCAATTTTCCACCCCAACCTTTATTTTTTCAGCCATTTTTTAATGAGAAGCTCACATATAAATACAAATGTAAATAAGAACAAAAACTAACATTTATTATAAAGGCAACGCGTACGGGTATTATGGTGAAGACTATTAACGTGTACCAATCAATGAGGGTCTTTCTGAGAATGAGCCGCTCCTTGCAAAACTGGTGTTAATCGATATATAGATCGGCAAACAGTTGTGCAAATGACGAAAAGACGAAACTATTTGACGTTTACGCGACATGTTTGTAGTAAAGCCACTCTGCGAAAACCCGGTTCGTCAAAGGGGCCCCTGGGTGCCCTTTTCGTAAGGCGTGATCTTCACAATTCCTCCCCAAAATCAGCGCAATACGCAATTCAAGCCTCGTGATTCGTAATCAGCTTTTAGAAATAATTATCAAACGTAATTTGTATAAATCCGGGGGCGATCACTACCACTATACAGCTAAGACAGAGTTACCCCCTGGTGCTTTTTATTGACATGTGCACAGTGGGGTGACTCCCAGCTGTTTCAGTGTGAAAGCAAGGAGGTTACTTATTGGAAAGTCTCCACCAAGGCTCTTTAGGGGTGCGAAGAACAGAAGACATTGGCCAAATATGGCTGATAGCTAACTCCCGAGGGTGTCTGGTTCAGAGGAGGAGAACGGGAGTCCCGCTGGCCACGAGAATTGATAATGCGATGATTAGGCTAGATAGCAGGCCAATACCGCACGCGTTTGTTACTGAAAAATGCGTTATCATCACAAGACTAACCAAAGGACCTGCTATGAAGGCTATATCGGGATTACATCGCAAATACTGAAAGTGATGGTATCGCAACGGCATATAACGTCCGATGCGTTAATGGCTCTTCACAGACTTCTTGGAGCGGCGGCGTTTATAATTTTTCGAGGTGCGCCGTGGGTAGGCGATTGTTTTTGAGGTTATGGGGGATTTATTTTACCTGGTGAATGCTAGGCCGTGATGATCTCTCTTGGGCCCTTGTCGTCTTGTCAGACGATCTGCAGCTTGGTGATCTCTACCGCGTCATTAAACACGTGTCCTCACGCCCAGCCGGCACGTTAGGGGCTTCAACACAGCGGGGGTTCAATTAGCTCTGGGCGGCGCAGTAATTACAACTGCTGCGATGGACTGCAAGAGGGAAGCCCTGCCCCAAACAAACTGGGCCCGGCCGCAATACTCCTAGTACAATACTCCCATGCCGTCGAGTTTTTTTTTCACACCGGTTCTCCAATGCACCAAAGAGGCAAAACTCCCACCGCGGCATAGCTGGTCCCGTAACTCCATCTGGTGCATTGGAGAACCTTAGTCTTAAAACTCGCGTATCAGCACTCACGCCCCCAAATAAATACAGCCGTTCAAAAAAGCCTGCAAGGGAGGCTACATTGTGTCCCAGCGGTTAATCGGCATTCCCTCATGTACGAACTTGACTTCCCTTGACCCTTGCCTTGACCTCTCAACCACCAACTGAAACTAAGGCACCGTCAACCATTTATAAATATCCGATCATATATAAATATCAGTGGTGGTCCATTGCTAACCTCGGTAGTCTTGCTTTGTGTTCCAGTGGATTATAGCCTCTACCAGACTCCAGAAGTGGCCAAATGGTCAGGGGAGTGCAGTTTGCCGCTCTTTTATAGCGGACCAACTCCCCTGGCATGTTATCTGTCTATTGTTTGGCCAATTTCTACTCTTTCCAGCCGCTCCCGAAGCCTAACAGATGCTAGGTTGATCGGCATTCCCTCATGTACCAACTTGACTTCCCTTGAACTTGCAACCTCGAACTGACTGTGAAGCACCGTGAATAATGTAATATTTGCGGCGGTTCTATGTCCACGGTTTTTGCGGTGGCCCCAGCCCAACTGCAGATAATAATTAATACAGATTTTTAAATCTCCTAGCAGATCTTGGTGGCTTCAAAGGCAGTTTTTCAAATTGCCAATACAGTATCCATTTGCCAGGGAGTTACCACGTAAATATACCACTGCAAAATTTAAAAAAGAAATCCCGACAAAAACACATTAAAAATAAGCTGAAGCCAAAAAAATCTGCTTGTATTGGAGATTTTCTGTCAGCAATATAGTCATAGTTTAATTCGTTGAGTTTTCTTATCTCAAAACCTTAATGAACACGTTGTGATATTACATAACATCAAAGTTAAATGAATGTACAGTATATCAAATGTCGCTCAGATCTAAATAAGAGAAGCTGCTGTGAATCACGAGTTTGTGCCAGACAGACATTGCATCACCAGTCTCTAAATTATTCATGCATGGCCTTAACAGGACATAAGTAATGTCTGGAAAGGTGCCCACAGGATGGGGTAGCATAATTGTGGTTATATAATTTACTCTAATCTCAAAACGTATGTTTAATGTGTGTGTCTGTGTGTGTAGACTGTATTTTGTCAATGTACTGCCTGGAGTGAAGTCTGCTATCTCTGATTGCCTTGATGGCAATAAGAGTTACAATGTCATTAGTATCATCATGGTGGTAGAAAATGGTATCAAGGACATTCCAAAATAGCGCCACCAAACAGCTTAAATCATCATTGCAGGAAAATTCACATCTAGTTGGGGGGAAAGAAAAAAGAGATGAAAACCTAGAGATCCACAACCGCAATAAAGATGATTTTAATTACAGGAATTCGAGACAAGATCATTTTTAGCCACCTTGGTTTATTTTCAGTGACACAGATTTTTTTATCTGCGAATCAGATGGAACGACATCAATACCAGGCTACAATTATTCTAATCAACTATGAACTACAATAATTTCTCTCACAGTTAACAGAATTAACAGTGGAAGGTCTAAACATATTGCCACTAACTTCCATTTGTCTATACAAAGGATATTCAGTAGATTGCATATGCTTTTATGATTGGCAATTAAAGAATCCCAACAGTTTATTGCTTAATTAATATCAATTAACATGCCTTCAATTAAGCACAATTCATTGAATACAAATATTATGTACAATTTTACATAGAACCTTTTAGTAACAATTTTACAAATTTCAAAAATCAGTGAAATATCATAATCTGTGTCATTAGAAAAAGTGAAAAAATAACTTAAAGAACTTCAACAAAAACATGATTGTCTTATTATACATTCACAAAGTCAAAAGTAGAAAATAAACCAACCTCTCTTTCATTGATAGAAATACTGAAGTACGAAAATAACTTAAAAATAATTCCTTGAATTTTGATCTACAAATCTCAACATTTGGGTTTAATTGGTGCCTACTAAAGATTGAGAAGTATTCTGACAAAATTCTTTCCAAGTCAGACTATTCCTGCACTTAGGAATGATACAGGGCTTTGATTTTTTTCCAAAAATGTCTGTCACCAACAGATCTGCTTGGAGATGAATATGAGTCAGCAACCAACCAGACAATTGATAAAGTCAGCTTCAAAACAGGTTGGATATGATCATTGCATATATATCATATACGGACAGTTTCAAACAGGGATCCTTAAAATGGTGCAGAAGCAGGAATGTTTTTTTTAAATTCCTTCCACTCACATCATAACTTTCCTACCACAACAGCATGGATATATCAGAAGTGTGACGATGTTAACTCTCATAATTACACCAGGTGTCTTGGAGACCTGCTGAAATTATAAGAGTTGACGTCATACTGTAGTGGTAATGTTATGTTATGTTGTCCTTCAAGTCAAAACATGTTTGGTGAGACAAAACATCCGAAACCTTCAGGACAAAATCTCTCGTTCATTCGGCCTTCTCCAGGACAGAAGGAAAGTGCACAACTCGTAGTTGGTTGCCATAGTTACAGATAACTGATGACCCGTAGATGACCTGAACTTGACGTACAAACTGTGACTGGTCGTTGTCTCCGAGAAGAACCGTTCTGAGGTGCTCGCCGCGAAGAATGTTCCACAGATACAGACAACCCTGGTGGGAAAAATAGGAACAACCAAACAATCAGTCAATAGAATTAAATCTTCCGCTGGCATCGTGTGCTGATGCATGGAGGCTGTAGCAACCACATAACATAAATATCAGGCAGAATATTTCTCTGTGTTCAGATTATGTACTGGTCTATGTTTTCAAGACAAGAACAAATTCAAGCAGTAAAAACAGTTAGTGGTCCTTACCTGCCCCCCACTGACCAGTAGACTGTTGTTGAGAATACCTATGGTGCTGCTGCAGCCGACATCCTGCAGAAACAAAGAAATGCATTGATCACAATTAGGCCAAGCAGTAGAATAAACAAGACTCTGTAGGACACAAAACTCCATGCAGTTGTAACAGAAATTTCAGAGTGGGAAAAGATGTATTGTACCATTCTTGGAGAAGGGCCTCCTTCACAGAGGTAATTAGCCTACATCGCTACTCTCTCTCTTTCTCACTCAGCATTTACAGGTTCATTATACCCTAGCTGTTTCCAACAAGTACAATGTCTCGGCAGTGGACCATGGCTTAATGTCCTGTCCAAACAACTGCAACTCTTTCCAATAGCATCAAAGTTGGGTGGGCAACAACAACCAGGATTTGAACTCCCAAGCTCTCGGTCTTATGGCTTGGTTGCTGACCACTGAAATACTGGTATAGATGCTACTGGTATTAGTGAAAACTCTCAATGGTCAGTACCTGTTGTATAGAGTAGAGCAAGGCCCCTCTTGACCGGTCCCACACACAGATGCGGTCATCCTGGCCTGAGCTGAGGACATGGCCGGTGGTGCAGGTCAGGGACAGGATGCCGCCCTCGTGTCCAGTCAGGTGGTGGACACACGAGCCGGTCAGCATGTCCCACAGCCGGATATCCCCATCCAGAGAACCACTGGCCGCAGCTAACGGGGGAGTCTGGGGACACAAAAAGGGGATGAAGGTTCATCTAAGTTGGTAATTACCAATATATGTATACCGGTATATACATATAACAAAGAAGAGAATTAAAACTTTGCTTCAAAAGTCAGTTTTTGAACATTTTGTTAATTAAGCTTATTTCAGAGAGCCACTGGCTGCAGCTTACGTTGTGGGAGTCTGGGGACACAAACGGGATGAGTGTGGTCAACTTCTTGTGATTTTACACATACCTTGTCCAGATGTAGTGCAGTGACTCCATCCGTGTGGCCGTGTAGTGTATACAGACACAGGGCGTCCTCCAGTCGGTACACCTTCAGGGTGTGGTCCTGACTTCCCGTCACCACGCGGCCGGCGGAAGACTGCAGCACGTTGATTGGCTGCTGGTGTGCGTGGGGAACGTGGTGCGCCAGACGGACGCAGCAGACCGTGTCCGAACTTGTGACAATGAAGCCATCGTGTGATTGGTTCCTTCTGTGACCTGGGGAAAAATAAAATACAGATTAAGCTCTTTGACTATCAAGTTTGTTTACAATGGGATAAAAGACAGTGGAGGGAGAGAGACACAAACTTATGTTGGGGCAGAGACTCTGATCTAGTAGTCTCTGTCAACTGAAACTCCGATCAGAGTCTCTGCCTGTAGGGATTGCAATCGGAGTCTCTGCTGATTCATGTTCAGTATCAACATTACATGATGAGTAGGGTATTACTAGTAGCTACCAGTAATGTGACTGAATGTTGGACTTTCAGGATACTATGTTGGGCAATGTTAAGTTATAGCAATAGACCTCTCTGCCAGTAGAATTGCTGATTCTACTAGATTGGAGACACAGTGGATCATCAACCCACTGATAAGGCTAGACTGCCGCTAGAGTATCTATGTCTTACCTCTGATTGGCCCAGAAGGCACCATGGATGGAGGGGAGGCTGACACCACCCCTCGAGCCTCCAGGATGAGGAAATCTAAGCTGCCGTTGAGTCGAGATGCAACAATTCTGTACAAAGGCAAGTCAGAACAACATCACTATGTAGGTGTCTGAAGTTTCTTTCAAAAAAATTATACTACTTAGTTATATCATTCATCATTGATAATTGCAAAAAAACTTGGACTTTGGACATTAAACAACAAGAATTCAAAGATCTCATACCCCAATGAAATAATAAACATCATTGTCTTACCTGTTATTAACAAAACAAAGAGCCGTCACTCCTTCTGCAAACTCATGGTAATAACACTTCAAAGACCCAGACAACCCATCCCAGACCTACATGGAAATATATTTAAAAAATATCAGCATTTTCCACAGTAATGAGTAGAAACATTATGTATCACAATGTCTGATAAATATATTATAATATATGGTACACGAAACTTTCTTTGTTGACAAATAATTGACATAATATGATCCAAGAATAGAATATTGTCATTTATTCATGCTTTGATTGTCATGAAAATAGTTGTGTTTTAATATTTTTGGCACTAATACTAGTAACAACAGTACACAAATTGTAGGAAAATAATATGTATGGTACTCTAGACATTACGTCTTTCCAGCAAGATTGCCTGCAAACAGACAATTAAAAAGATAGAGACAAGTATGACCTCTGACCTCTATTCTGCCATTACTGCACCCGGCAACCACCAGGTTGTCATGGCAACCCAGGCACCAGATGGGCGTGGCCACGCTGTCCTCCTCCAGCAGGGCGCTGTCCCCAAACACGCTGTCGTACAGCCCCGCCAGGCTGTCCTGCCGGCTCAGCTCACCCGCAGACGACAGCCGCCGCAGCTCCGACGCGCTGCCTGTGCTGTGCAGGCTACGCTCGCTGGAGGATGACGCATTCAGCAACCGTTCTGAAATAGATTTTTCACATCAACCCACAAGACAAGATAGAGGCAAGTGACGAGATGCCATCAAGCCGCAGCATTGTTGTGCAAGCACCTCTAACCCTCGGAAGATGGGGAACAACAGACGCTTGACCGAATAGTGAGAAGTGTACACATGATATAGTCATCAATGAATATAAAATTGGATATTGTATACAGGTAAAAAGCACTGTTTAATGTGATTATTTATTTATACATGAGTACATGCTTAGATGGAAAGAAAAGTCATGGCCTTATGTCTTGCAAGTGTTGAAAAGGATAAGTAAGTAAGGTACATGTACTATATTACTTGTTTTATCCCTAAACTGTGGTGTATTATATCTAAAATGAGTTGAGCTTGCCTTGCACTTCTTATTTGTAAGTTTTAAATGTTTTAATGGTGAATCTTACTAGCTTATATTAGACTAGTAACTCCATGCACTTCAGCCTTCCTAACTGCAATATGGAAGGTACAGTACAGCTGCTTTACAGATTGAATAAACCATTATTATTACGTTCGCTTGAAGACGATGCGTTGAGCAGCTGATCGGGAGATGGTGGCATCAGCATGTCCGGTGAGGAACATCCTGTACTAGTTCTCTTGTACAACGACGCGTGTTCGTGATAGTAGTGGTCAAACCGACTGTGGAAGTCATATCCTGGGGTAGAACCTGGGATGTCCTGCGGTGTACTTTTCACCTCTACTTGCTGTGGAGGTGATTAAAAATGGGTTTTATTCAAAGAGAACATTTGGCAGCCCAAATTTGGATAAAAGTTTAAACAACATGTGACACACATTAACAAGTAACTTTATCATTAGGCCACACCAATTTAATTTGTTGGTTCTCGGATTTTTTCAGAAAAAATATGAAGCGACAGGGCGAAAAAAAATAAAAATAAAAACAGGTCTAGGCATCCCATTATAGGCTTAAATGCTACGGAATGAGCCATGAAGTCAACACAAAAGGCTGGGTTAAAATTTAAACATTGAATTTTGAACTTTTAATCAAACCATTGCAATGATAGATGGGAAAACTGTAACAAGTAGGAAGAAAAGGACTTTCCTCAACTGTTGGGGGCAAAACATGAGCATTTTTCAGTTGATTCAGGACCAGAATCAAATTTTTTTTTTTGCAAATCAGAAAAAAACGAAGAGGCGAATCCGAGAACCAACAAATTAAATTGGTGTGGCCTTAAGGAGTTTTAAGTGTATTTTGGATGTATTTGTTCAACTGTGGTGCCTGAAATCAGAAATTGCTGCTTGGATATCCCAATGTATTGGGATGTTGGAATTCCAATAAAACAAATTAAAGTCTAACATTAAAAGATTACAAGCCATACTAAAATGTACACATATGAACAAGTAGCAGCTAAAGCTGTTTACCCTAACATTAACTTGTGACTCTGTGGCAGACGGCAGTCGCGGTGTACTTGTCTGATGGCCTGCCTGGGAGTGGTGAAACCCGTTCAGAGTTTCACGTTTCTGCTCCTTCTGTAACTGCACAAAATCCGTGTCGATGCTGCTGGCGAGATTGGGCAAGTTGGTGAAGAAGTCGCTTTTTCTCCTCTTGGGTTTCTGCTGTTCCTGGCTGTCTGAGAGACTGCGCTGGGAGTGCCCCCTGTGGGTGAGGTGGTGGTACTGCAGGTCTGGTGGGGACTGTTGGGGTGACCAAGGGTCGTACTGTTCATTTCCACCATAACAGGGCTGTCTGGTACTGCTGGGGGCTCTGTAACAACCGATAATACATTGTATATTCATACACAGTATATGGTATTACATGTATTGTCAAATATCCATCTACATGTAGATGTGTGTATCATGTATACCGGTACTTCTCAAAGTACCCCTACGATTCTACGAATATGTTACAAACACAGAAAATGAAATTTGCCTGCACCGGCCATGCAATTTTACCTACACCACTCAAACATGAGAAATCCCTGCACAGCCCCAATTCTACCTGCACTGACCTGCATATGTATTTCCAGCCTTATAAAATCATAAAATCCTCAAGCTGAGATTTAACAGAGATTTAGGTAATAGATAGTATGTTCCTAAGAACAGTTATGACAGACTTACGTTCTCCTGCTGATGCGAGTGAGACAGTCCCCAGAGTTGGCGTCCCAGACTCTGATGTCACCCAGCAGACAGGAGCTGACCAGGGTAGGGCCGTCACTACACATGCACTCCACATCCTACACATAGGGAACACTACACATCAGCATGTGCCGTCACTACACATGCACTCCACAACCTACACATAGGGAACACTACACATCAACATGTGCCGTCACTACACATGCACTCCACATCCTACACATAGGAAACACTACACATCAACATGGGCCATCACTACACATGCACTCCACATCCTACACATAGGGAACACTACACATCAACATGGGCCGTCGCTACACATGCACTCCACATCCTACACATAGGGAACACTACACATCAGCATGTGCTGTCACTACACATGCACTCCACATCCCACACATAGGGAACACTACACATCAGCATGTGCTGTCACTACACATAAACTCCACATCCTACAGATAGGGAAACTACATATCAACATGTGCTGTCACTACACATGCACTCCACATCCTACACATAGGGAACACTACACATCAGCATGTGCTGTCACTACACATACACTCCACATCCTACACATAGGGAACACTACACATCAACATGTGCTGTCACTACACATACACTCATATATACATGTATAAAGAACACAATACATCAACATGTACATCAACATACACATCTGCCCATCCGTCTGTCCATCCATCCATCCATCCATTCATCCATGCATCCATCCCTCCATTCATCTACCCATCCCCTGCAATCGTCCAATCACAGCACAGCTTCCTTACCTGCGTGTGACCCCGTAGTACCAGCGGTACAGAGTCGCTGATCTGTCGGACGTAATAGGGGTCGTCTGTGACCTTTAACCTCCTTCCCTCTGGTGCCCAGCGCCCGTAGTCGCGGGGACACACACACTTGTACAGCACCATCAGTATCACCACCAGGAACGCTCCGCTCAGCACTGCAAGACCTGAGGTAGCAAAGCAGAAAATGTTATTGTTCCAGCAGTTAAGAAAATGCTAGGCTGGAAACACCCACTCAGCCCATCCAATGATCAGGAACCTACAAGCTTGTGTAACACAGGCTAAAGGTAAGCAGGGCTGAAAAACCAGATGCATATAAGTTATAGTAAGTTGGATGTAGATTATCGTAGCTAAAAAAAGAAATGTGTTGCACTGACTGTGCTGCACTGATTACTAGGAAAAAATGATTAACTTAATGGCTTTGATATTGTAGGCTAACATGGTACCCAATGGTTAGCTTTATGTAGTGAAATGTCAGTGTTAACCATCAATGGTTAACTGTTAACTAGATAATGGTTAAGTAGAAAACCTATTGGCCGAATCACTTTTGTCCTCTCCCCAAATATCAAAAGACTAGCTAAAATCATCTGGTCATCTGGCTACTTGCAGTGAGGATGAAAGATACTGGGCAGCTAAATAACTCACCAATAGTTAAGTAATATTCCCTTTTAGAGGAAAAGAACGGCAGACGGACTGTCTTGTTCATGGCGAGGAGTGGGTCGAAGGTCATGTCGGGGGCTGCGCCGTCCGGTATGTCGTGGATGACCTGCGACTCCATGAAGTACTGCAGCTTCTGGGCGTGCTCCTGCTGCTCGCTGCGGTGTCTCATTTCTACAGCCTCGTGGGGGGGAACCACCACCGACAGCAGGATGGGAGGCAGGATGCTGATGTACCTGTGACAGAAAATAGCACATGATTTGGCTCAAGATTCAATGATGGAACAGCCATCAAGCACAAAAGACAGAAAATAACATCCAATATTGCTCAAGATTCAATAGTAAGAGAGGGAACGACCACAGATCACAGGATGAGGAGCAGGATGCTGATGTACCTGTCAGGACAGAAAATAGCACTCGATTCTGCTCAAGAGTCAATAACATGGAGGGAGAATACGGATATACCATTCAGGACAGCAAATGGCACATGATGATTCTGCTCAAAATTTTGAAGCAACATGGACAAAACATTAGAGATTCACAGGCACATTACGTTCTGCCAACGTGCTGATTAAACATACCTTCCAGCTAGTGTGATGTTATAACACCCGAACAGTTTGGGCCAGTGTCTGAAGGACAGGTCCTGCCACGGCTCCTTCTGCTCTTTCCCCTCCCCTTCTCCGTCAAAGTTCCAAAAAGCATCCGTCTTACGCTCTAAGTCAAGGTCTTGGTTTCTTCTTGGAGACTCAGCTTGCACCTGTAGCCCCTCTTGCAGGCTCCTTAGGCTGTCCTTGTTATCGGAAGACGATGAGGGTTGACGACTGGTGGTCACGTTGGTCAACTGGTCCACCAATCCGGTGTTGTATACGATAAGAGCAATCCAAACAACAGTGCAAAGCTGTTGAAAAGAAGAACATTGTACAATGAATAGTTTCATTAGGCTGGTTAATGATTGAATAGCAAAGTTCTTTATTCACAACTACTTGTTAAACAACAACAAATTAGTACTGCAAATATTTTAATAATTACAGTATTGTCATGGTTTTGCCTATCATTTATACATCAGCCTTTATACATTTATTTATTGGTCTGGCTGTTCAGCATGCACAGCCAGGGCTCTTCAACTATCCTGTGGCTATTGCTGACAAAGACAAGACATTACAATGGAATGTTTCATAGTATTCTGACTCTGTGTTTTGCCTACCATAATGAACCTTTGCACAATCCTAGTCCTTGCCCAGAAGAAGACAAACTTGAGTCTTTTCTGTGCCCGGAGGAGGCCTTGGTTCGGGTGTTCTCCACTCTCTACCGCCGCTGGGGGTCGCTCAGGGGTCACCAGCCGAGGCTGCTGGGATACAAGATGGTGGAGACCTGTTGGGAGGGACATAGAAAAAAGTTCATAATTCAGAAACACTGTTTTGAATGTAAGAATATGTCAAAAAGTAAAGCAAAATCAAAAAGTAAAATGAAATTTTCAAAAAGACAGGTCTCACCAGGTGCTGACTTTGACCTTGGCAGGCGGGTGGGAGGGGGGCGCGGCAGGGTCTGGTTGGTCAGGGTCTCTGATTGGATGGTGGCGGTGTCAGTCTTATGGCCCTGCTGTCTGTCACCCTGTCTTTGTAAGTCTGACAGCTGTGAAGTAATCAATCAAAAACAGTAATTAGACTAGAAACTCAAAGGTAACATTTGCAAAGCAAATAACATAATGCTTATCTTCACATGAGGATGGTCTAGATCAACAAAATACTGCTCTGTTTATTTTCACTCAAACACATTCATATATTTGGTGGCCAGCCCCTCCAGCTCTGTCCTGCTACATAATAATCCAACACCTCAGGCTATCTGATACAATACCAGTTACCACGGTGACAGATGTCTGGTCCAGGCCATTGACCTTTTGTGTTTGGAAAACCTCTGTACCTGATGTTACCTTTAGGTATACAGCACTAGTGTTAAGTGTACGGGAACACAGCCCTACACTATATATAGTGTAGAAAAGGAAATCATTCATACCTCAATCCTCCTAATGTCTATGGACAGCACTGTAGCAAAGAACCACATCTGGAGACTGAAGTCTGACAAGAGACCAACCAGCGCAAACATGCAGAACTCCTGTGGAAGACCAAAATCACAGAAAAATTGATGTCAACATGAAGAACTCCTGTTGGAGACAAAAGTTACATAAAAATAACTGAATGAACATTATCATTTTCAAATACATTATGTAATACGTATAGAGTTACCTGAATTGCTGGAACAAATGTGAAGTACCCAGCACATGCTATAGCCAACTCTGTCAGCAGGTTTTTAGTAATGGACCAGCCTTCCTTACTCAAACCTAAAACACAAGGATACAGACATGTGAGATGTCTATAATCAACCCCATTTCACTCCTTTCACTCAGAAAACACGACACAGGTACTGATGAGGTGTCCTCAACACTGGGTGTGACAGCATTTAATGTATGGTAAAGAATATGTCTCATATAGCACTTTAAGACTGGGCTACTTAATAAAGTATGAACCACATACCTTGTGCTATTCTGATATTGACATCCAAGTGAACTGGGGTGGACACTACAGACTTGGTCAGTACAAGGATGTTCTCTAGTCCCACTATCACAACAAGGTAAGGGAAGATCTCCCTATAGATAGGAACAAAGTACAAGAGTAAATTTTCAAGCATTTCTTAAAAAAAAAGACAGCTTTTGCCCTTGCATATACAGTCTATCACTAAATTAAGGCATAACTATATGAATACAATACACAGTTACTGTACCACAAAATTTATTTATTACTGGGTAGGCACCAAATTATGAGAAAATAGAACCACTTACAATGTCCTATTGGCCTCGCTGCTACAAGTAAAAAAGTCTCACATTTAAGTATGAGTACACACAGATATAAGATATAAAATCTAATATAATCATTTGGCATCCTTTTTTGTCCATGTTGTTTCTTTTGTTCTCACTTTTGGTGTCTGCGGAGGATGTCATCAATAAAATCTACTTGCTGTGACTCTACAGACTCTAATTATTTCAATACTTTTTTGGTCCTTATTAATAGTTGACAAAGTTGGAATCATTAATTATTCATAAAGCAAGAAATGGAAAACTCTTTAAGTCACGAACTCATACAAAACTGTTCAAAGACTAGGCATTGTAAGTATACCTGGGCTATACCATAGCAGAGTAGGGGTGCCCAAATAAAGATGAAGGTTTGCACTGAAAAACTTACCCTCCATTTAGAGTAGGAGTCAGCCCAAACAGAGTACACAGTCCTATGGACATCAGTAGAGAGGCGATGACTGTCATCACTGCAGCCAGAGCCAGACCCCACTTTGACTTTACAAACTCTATTTTGGCTGTAAACACAAAACAACAACAACATCAAATTATACAAGAAAATAGTTACTCAACCAACTGGATAGATTTTGCTTGACTGTTTCCTTGTGTTTCTCGTTACGTGCAAGTCTAACCTACATCAATGTAACATCAACATAGTTCAGCAGTTATTGTTAGTTTTGCAAAAATCTTGTCTTTGTACATTGTATTTGTCTTATACAATGTATTTATTAATATACCAATTTGGAAATAAATAGTAGGATTCATGAGTTTTACTTACAGACAGAGAAGGATATATACAGGAACAGGATCAGATATGTGGCCAGTAGGGGAACCAACTCAATAATGCTGAACTCCTCCTACAGGTAAACAAGGAAATAAACACAGGTAAACATTTGCAATTATCATCATGACATCATCATCAGTTGGCTATCACAAACACATTCCACTTATTCTACAAATTATTCTAAAACTTGTTTACCTGTCTATTTTTCTGTTTTTTTTTACACAACACTGATGTATTATTGTTATAGAAATACATATAATACAGAAAATATAAATATTATTCAAAATTTTATTGTGTACACCTTGCAAATGAATTTGCTGTTGTGATGATTTTACCTTGAAATGCATGTGTGTGATTTGTTCCTCAGATTCCTGTGTCACATTCAACAAACTGGAGTGGTATTTCTTCTGTAGTATGGTCTTCAGTGTATTTATATAGCTGTAAAAAAAGCAACAACACCATTTCCATAAAATGGAATTTCATCTGAGTTGTAAGTTACATAATGAGAATTAAACTGTTCTCCAACTTAATTCAATTGCCTCACTGGAATTTCTACAGCACTTGGGTCAGATTGCTGATGAACTGAAAGATTTAATCAAAATTTTTGTGAGTCAGTTCTATTGAGTAGAACAGTTTAATTCTTATTAAGAAACATCCTTTTCTTTTCATTTTGTAACCTGTATCTAATGAAAACCTGTGTTCTTTCTGATTGCATGCCTACACTGGCTACAGGCAGAACTGCGACCACTTCCTGGTCATGTGACCTACTTGGCAGGCTGCATTGTTTGACCTAGATATGACATCACACCAGGCAGATCACATGACTCAAGCTCATTATAATATCCCAGCATGCCTAGCACTTGTGGGCACAAAATCTTGCTTAAATCATAAATTTTACTTTAAAAATAAAATCTTTGCACATAAAAAATCACTAAAAACATTTCAAGTATAGTTTGTAACATACCATGAAAAAAAAAGCATGTTTTAAATTTTTTTAGCTAGTAAATATGGCACTTTTTAGTCGGAGACTGGAAGGACCACAAATAATGTTCTGACTGCGTTGACCCCGGCGATTTTTTCAGCCCTAAATTCTGTACTCTGGTTTCCCTTCAAATTACCACGCATAAATCTTTCGCCTTTTACTAAAGATTTCCGTGGAGGGGAACAATCAATGAGTCTATAAACAATTTTTCTGAGTCCCACCACAGTGGGACTATATTAAACCAAAGAAGTTACACCACACAAACATACTCAGTCCAAGAGATAGTCTTTTATCTCCATGCTCTGTCGTGGAAGTCTGGGTTGAAAAGAAGCTACCCTTGATACCAAATGTAGAATAATAACTACAAACAACAGTATTTGAAAAACCTCTAACTACCTATTAAATCAGAGGAGTTACAAGTTACGTAACTTACGTAGCATTGTAGTCCTTCAGCGCTAATGTGACGGCATACATGATGAGCCTCTGTTTGTTGCGTAAGAAGAACCTGTGGACACCCGTGGCTTTGGCGGGCACTCCAAACAGCAAGTCTGTTGGTAGAAAAACAAGCTAGAATTTACCACTGGGTTGAGTAAGCAGTTAAGCATTATGACTCAAGAAGCTATGGATGGATTGTCATGAAACTTGGTAGATGTGTAGGTCTTGATAAGATATCAAAATGATTAGAGTTTGGGCCCCTTAGCGTCTTGTTATGGTACTGCAGTGGAACTTCCAGTTCCGATATCTCGTGATCTGGACATGCCAAGGTCACAGATTTTGTTGTAAGTGTATTATACAACCATACCTTTAATAGTAGGTGCAGTCTCTATTGTTGGAGACTGGAAGCTGTGAATTGTCTTGATAATCTGTCCATCCTCCTTAAAAAGGGTGGCATCACCCTTCCAGAAGTTTGCGGGAGACACCAGTAAACAGTTAAACTCTGGTAGGAGACCTTTGGCCTTGAACTTCGGTAAGACCTCCGGGATATGGAGACAAAAGTCACTTGTACTTCTGGTTTTTCCACTGAGAAAAAAAAGAAAGAAACTGGTTAAAATCTCAATGTCATACTTGAGACACCTTGGCAAAATGCAAATTGTTTCATCAGACTATGTCACAAAAGTCAAATTAATTATCATAATCTAGACAGACTGCCTACAAGAGAGAACTGGGAGCTATTTCAGGAGGTACAGGAGGAAAATCTTTAAAAACTGAGCATCAGAAATCAGCATCAGAAAATATTATTTGAACTAAACTTTAAAAAAAAATACACTTCAGTATTTAAATTTTAATGCTCCAAACATGAGGTCAGTTATTAGAATAACCAACATGCTTGAAGTTCACTAAGTACATCCTCAACAAATAGGGGTTGCTGATTGGTCCATGCTGTAATGACATCATATCTCACCTTATTTTGACCTGTAGGTTGTTGACATCGTCCACGATGGAGAAGACTTTGGAGAGCGGAGCGCGGAAGGCGTCGGTGGGGATCAGTCTGGATTCCCATGGCGACACCGTTGCCATGACAACAAACTGCTGAATAAAAGCCACAGGTTTCCCCGCCAGCTGTAACAGATTAATGAACAAAAGTTAAGCTGGCCTTCAGGAAAGAATATTTGATCTGAATGTACGAGGAATAGTAGGATAGGATTGAAACCAGTGTTCTAGCCAGCTGAATTTTTTTCCCCGTCATCTATATTTTATTTCATGTAACATCATGTCAAAAGCCTAAGGAGTGAGGTGCAATAATCCTATGACAGATTTGACATCTGTCCCCATATCTTTACACACTGAATTTTGTCTGTCAGAGATGGATTGGGCAAAATTTTTGTCCGTCATGGGCGGCAAAATGATGGAAAGCATAAAATGATGGAAAGACAGACGCTGGCGAGAACACTGAATAAGACCTAAATGAAGATGACAGATGATCATTGAAATGTCAGCTCTACAGTGTACAAAATACTTCTTTGAACCAGGTTGTGGGCAACCAACGGCAAAAATTAGGTTGCCCATCAGAATTTTAGGTTGCCCCACCTATAAGTTATTACTTTCCTCAAATTAAGTAATGTTATATACATAAGCCTTTGACAATATTTCTAACAGCCTTTAGTTAACTGATACTAGACTTGAGTAGTAATAGCCATTAATACCCAAAATTAAAAAGCATCTGCCGGATACAGTGGTGCAAGCCAAGTGGGCATGGGGGGGGGGCATGACTCACGTAGCATACTGGGCAACCTAGGTTCAAAAATAGGTTGCCTCAAGTAAAATTTGGTTGCCCATGGCGACTGGGCAACGAGGTATTTTGCACGCTGGCTCTTGTAAACAAGTGGTTGTGACTTGGTATCTTTGGTTTCCAGATAGATGTTTTGCGTAACTCACCCATTTTGGTAGTCCGGAGTCCAGGTGTCCTTCCATGGCTGTCTGCAGCAGACTGGGTTCCACAGTAGCCTCCGTCAGGGGGAGACTAAACTCCTTTACAGTGGTGGTGTACTCCAGGGGGGCATTACCGGGCAGGGGGAGGTTAGCCAGGGGGATACTGGACAGGAAGGAAAAAACCAATGTTCAGAAATCACATAAGAATAGAAAATCGGATCGGATAAAGAGGCATGTAACAGCCTATAAAAATCCGCTTCTTAAGCTAACATTACAAACACAAATATATGCATATAAAGTTCAGCGTTAAAATGTGAGAGTTTGTGGGAGTTCTTAGGTAAAGTCAACGTTGTACTCCTTCCCCTTCCAGTTTAAATTGTCTGTCTTTGACTTAAAAATTATTAACAGTTTCGGCAGCTACAACTTCGGCTGGTAGACTGTTCCGAGAGTTAACTGTCCTAACACTGAAGAAGTTAGCTCTGGTTGACTTCTTGGCATGATGGACGATTTTCCCCCTCCTCAAATCACGTTAAAAACAAACAAAACACGTCAAAAAGTTTCTGCAGTCCGTCAGTAGGTACTTATCTTCATAACCGTGAAACTTGTAGAGGCGGATGGTTCCGTTTGATCAGGATTTTCAGCAGATTCTCAGCAGATTCAGCAGCAGAAAATCAACTAGCAGCCATCTTGCATCAATTCATATGCAAATCTCCTTCATAATCATATGCAAATCGCCATCATATGCAAATCTCCTTCATATGCGAATCTCCATTATATGCAAATCTCCATTATATGCAAATCTCCTTCATATGCAAATCTGAATGATGTGCAAATCTGAATAATGTGCAAATCTGAATAATGGGCATATGCCAGAACTGTTCACAAAATATCCAATTTATCCACATAGACACACTTGTCCAGAATAATGTAAGTCTGAATAGTTAAATTCTTCCCCAAATTATACCTTTCAGTATACAGGGCAGTGCCTATCCCTGTTTCTATAGTATAGTCCTTGGGTAACTGTGTGACAGTTGTTCACGAAATACATTTAAGTTGGTAGTGGTGTCTGTGTTCAACTTCTATACACTTGCTCAATAATAAGTGCTGAGAGCTAAAGCATAGAAAGTCGTATGTAAAAAGTCTTTGGGATTTGAACCCACGACCTCCCAGATTCTGTACTTACCAGAAGATGAAGGCCACCAGCATAGAGAGAGGGATGATGGCGTACGGATGGTTGGACACGAACAGCCCATGTCTGTAGTACACCAGAGCGATCTGCTGCTTCAGTCGCTCCTTACGCTCCACCCAGCCGATGTGAATCATCCTGGATCATACACGACAGTCTGGACGAGTCTTCACTCTTCACGTTTTACTCTCATCTCACCTGTATATGCATAGATATATAGATAAATGTACAGTCAAGAAGACCAGTCCTGAGACTGATAAAATCTGTCCATGTGTACATGCATGTGGGCAATGCTTGTGTCAAATTAGCAAAAATTATGTAATGGACTGTAAAAAGAATTGTCACAAGGACCAAGTTATTCTTATCTAGAGGTGGTCATCAGTACAAGTTTGACTTTATATCAATTAGGTGTTCCTTATATACATGTAGAGGTGGTCAATTATTAAATATTTGAATTTAAGAATTCATTCATTCATTCATTCATTCTACAGGTTTGACTGTAGCTACCAGCCAAAAACCTTCACATTTTAAAAACTAGGTCAATGACCTTTATCCACTACAATAAGCACCAATCAACGTACCTATTGCTGACATTTCAGACAAATTAATCAGCCATATAAGAAAACACAAATGCAGTAAAACTGTCAAGATATACAGAATAGAAGGGAGAACTTTCTAGGAAATAGACGTACAACAAAATGTGGAAAATACCAGTCCTTAGCCAGTGTCACTCCCACACATGTCTGGAGAATATATCAGTGCATGTAGGGGGAGGGGGCCAAAGGTGACAACACTGCCATTGTTTACAGTATCATGTATTTATGATGTGTCCATTAACATAATTAGAGGGAAAACAGGCTTACAATTCTAGAGTAATGACACATTCAGTCATTATAAACATAGTTTCATTTTCCTCAGTGTCTTTCAAAATTGTTTTGACCGCAAATTTACAATGGAAAACACCTAAAAAACCTATTTTCAACTACTATAGTGAAATAAAAACCCCAAAAATTAAATGACTTCAATGTATGTATGTTTCTATGGTCAGGTCAGTTGAATACTGGCCTGGATACTGACCAGTGCCAGTGGCCAGAATGTGCTTGTAAATGGGTCAGTGGAGTTGGCTGTCCTTTGTTTGACCCTATCCCTGCTATGGGTGGACCAAGCTTTTGTACTGTTTACATGTGGAGTCTGCAGATTAAGGGTTAACATTTGGAACATGTCGACAGGTGCAGTTCAAAGAACAAAGAGCACATAAATATGTGTACTGGTAAAGAGACTACAGAATAAGTACCATAACATCCACCAAGTTGACTTTAAAAGTTTTATGGTAAAATGAGTATAATTTAGAGCATTTAACACTCCATACATGTAAGTGGGTATTGCTCACCATAGCACATTATACTTTAAAAAAAAACCTTATTATAATGAATTTGCTGGCATTTCTATTAAAAAAAAGGATAAGTTTTTGCAAGTGCCACAGCAGGGGTCTAGCCCACTGGTAGTGTTTGATTCCCATGTGAGCGCTAAGCAGAGAAAGTAGTATGTAACAAGTTAAATGTACCATAAAGGCACACAAAATTTATCTTCCTTAACATCACCTGAACTGATTATTTTGCTGATACACATACATGTATTTTCTGAAGCACATTATTTACAATCCAAGAGGAATTATCTAAGTGAGAAGAAAGAAAAGCGTTTTTGCCAAACCTTTTTTTGGTTCCAATACCAATCATACACAATAGTTCTTTGTGCACAGAACTTGGCAAATCACTTTTCTGGCGAATCACAGAAAAGTGTTGATGATGTCATAGGGTTGGGCATGTGGCCTGATGTTTTTGTTGACACATACATTAACACGTGGGTTAGGGTCATACAAGTGGGGGTAGTCATAGGAGATATATGGGACATACTGTTACTGTAATGGTTTAGTATATCTATTGTTGTTTATTCTGCTCAAAAAACAACAACATGAGATCCTTAAGGCATGCCTATGAGTATAAGATGATGTAATCATGTGGTAACATTATTTCAGTCTAAAAATTATTTGCAATGAATTGGTAACACCAAGTACTTCTTCAACATCTTGATTAGGCTGACTCCTATGCAGTCAAATTATAACATAATGTTTCCCCTAGCAAAGTTATAAACAAGCCTATAATTATTATTATTATTATAAACAACATAACAATAAAACTACAACAAGGAAACGAATATGGGTGTTTAGCTACAAATCAAATCTGAACTCACCTCGCATATTTCCTGGTTAAACTCTTGTAAAATCCGCTTCGATGGCTGAAATTCGGGTTCCGCGAAATTATTTATCCGTGATCATCTAAACGCAAACAAACGGTGGGGAGGGGGGCGGACACTGAAGAAAACAACTGCAACGATTCCGGTAGGTAGCTTTAGCGGGCGGTTTCTCTGGTTGTACTCGCTGTCTGGCTACTTCAGCTTCATTCCGACGTTAGGAAGACGTAGCTACATGTATGTTGAAGAGAAAAACAACGCGAAAACACCCACATGTGGCGCCTGCCAAAAACAGACCAACGTTTAGAGACCATGTTGAAATATGTCATTCAATTTAGCTGCCTACGTCACAAAACCTACTGCCTGAACAATCAGTCCACTCGTTATATCATATTCCTTTTGTAGTTTTGGCCATAAATAATTTTTAATGATAAATCTGGGCTAATTTTTGTAAATTTAATGTTTTCTACGTTGATGTCTATGTATAAAGCGTTTAGAAAGGCATGTGATATATTGGTATGTAGGGCACCTATGTTTGGTAATTTGATTTGGGGGCCTTGCGATCTCCAGGTTTACCATGAAAATCTTGCGGTTTTCGACGTTTACTTGAGATTTTCTGGCACTAACCTTTGGCAAACTGTGGAATATGTCTGAGCAAGGACAACCGGAGACGTCTTCTGGAGATGAAGGGCTAGATCCAAGGATTCAGGTCAGTGGGAAAGGCTAGGAATTTCTTGAAAAATGCGCCGGTGTTTTTGCTGGAAAATTCAGCCGTTGTTTTGGCCTAATTTCGTGCAACCTGTTTGATTTTTTTTAAAGATGATAATATTTTCACTACGCAATACATATTTCTTGTTTACAAAATCTGTCTGTTGAATAAAAGAAATACAGGAGCTTGACGTTATGTTGCTCCGTATCGAGAAATCATGGGGTGCATATGACGATGATAAGTCACAAGTCAAAAATATGTTTTTGTTTGCCTTGACTCGTTCGATGGTTATATCTTGTCGTCAATATTACATCCTCGATGAAATCAAACATTTCTACTACCACAACTAACTCAGTTAGCATTTGCATTTTGTTTGAAGTTTAGATCGTAGTAAATGTATGTGTAAAATTAACTTTCCTGATGTTTGTTTTCCGGGTATGCAAATATAGGTCGAGGTTGTTGCTATGAAATTGTGGAGTATGAATGGGGGAGGGGGGCAGGGGGCGGAACCCTTGATTGTTTATTGAATGGTCAGGTGGAAATTATACCATTGTACGTGTGATTTTTTTTCTATCAAGTATGGCACTTCATGATTATTCTATAAAGTTCCATAAGGTATAGATATATACCAATTTATTCATGACTAGATCATTTTATAAACATGAAATACAGTTTAATATTGTGGCATGGGGAAAATTGGAAGTTTGTGGATGTGTAATATTTGCAATGTAAAGTTAGGATTAGAATGGTTTCATTCATTCATTCATTTCATTTCATCTCTTTATTTCCTCCATCTTTGGAGAGCCTCGTAAAATCGTTACAATACAAAATAAAATCTCATTCTTTGATATTTACAAGAGGTTAGATAAAATAGCAACGTTACACTGTCCCACTGACAGATCCAAGTGAGCACTACTAAATACTGTAGTCTTATTTCTACATATTGCACTTGGTCTTAAAAGGCTACACCTCGAGACATTACAAGTCAGAAAAATCGAATTAAATCGTTGCTACGAGCAATATTATTCTCACAGACTAACACTAAATCTCCAAATGAATGTACAAAGTACGTCT